TCCAAAATATTTTAAAGCTTACTTTACTACATAATAGAAATGTCTCCACGTTCGTTGTTTTTAGTTAGTAATTTTAATTGGGGCTGTTATATAAGAAGGCTATTTATCGTTGTTGTTGTGTTATAGTACTTATTTTATTGTATAATGCAAATTTTGATCAATTGGTTAATTTTATAATGTATAGAGGAACTTCAAAAAGAACAAAAGTAATTTCCACCGTTATAATATGTCCTTAAATGGTTCCCAATAAAAACATAGTTAACTAAGTAGTATACTACATTATATTAATTAATTTACTAACCAAATAGCAAAAACATTTCAAATTCGAAATCCATCTTTTTACTAAGTACTTTTTGCAAAGTAACAAAAATTCTAATCCCTTTGTTGTTTAAATTAAAGATAAACAAAAAATGTGTTTTTTTTTTCCCCATGAAATGCTAATTTTATGTTATTTGATAAAAACTGGGAAGTGCAAAATCAAAATCCTGGCGAAATACATATACTTATGAATGAACACAGCACACAAACATTTCTTCACCCTAAGCACGAACACAAATAATATTTTAAACAGCTTAAAATGAATCCACTTTCAAAGTATTTAATTTGTGATAGATAATGACAGCTGAAAACATTTTCCAATATTACAAGATAAAATGAGGTTATTTCTCAAATAGTTTCACAAATAAACTCACAAAATAAAGAACGCTTTTTTAAATTTTTAATTTGCAATACGTTAGATGCTTTATTGAAGAATTTGCAATAATATCGTTCTGATTTTCATTTTATCCAAGATTGCCATTATTTTTTCACTGATGAGCAACTTGCTAATTATTAGTCCAATGTAGAGTCCTCCTTCTTTTTTCTCATAAAATCGCCTTTGTAAATTTAGAGTTTAATTTAGCAAAACGTTTTCCACCTAAGTGGTAAAATGTCTTCGTAAAGGATTCCCTAAAGAAATCTGCCTTGTATTTATGTTGCATTTAGGGATATTTTCAAAAACACACGTTGCTGATTGTTATTTTTAATAGGTGAACAAAAGAAATATTTTTTCTAAGAAAGAATATAACTTAACTGCAAGCTATATCTTATTCCTAGATAGCGAAACTTGATTACAAACTCAATTTTTAAAATACATTTAATTATCTTTATGCTTTAAAAAATGTCTTGTCTGGTATTTGGACACCCACTTAACTTACACGTTGACCATTTAAATAGAGCACTACCAAATGGCACATTGAAAATGATCATCGCATATCTTTTCTGTTTCGCATCTCTTTCTCGGAAACAAATCTACCTATGTAGTATATTAATGTATAGGTAGCAGACATTCTGTCACTGTCAGCCGAGCGGTAAAGTCGCTGAATAGTCGCAGAATACCGAGTTCTGACTTAAGTTCGATTCTAAGAGAACGGGCTGGCTGCATGGGCGTTTTCATAGTTTTCCGCATATATAACATATATACGAGCAGTTTCTTTAAAAAGTCCTGGGGCCCACCAGCGGCCGAGCGGTAAAGTCGCTGAACACTGGTAGTTCGGTCCGAGGTTCGAATCCCGCGAACGGGCTGGCTGCATGGGTGTTTTCGTGGTTTTCACCATGTGTAACGTGTATACGAGCCAGTTTCCCTTAGAAAGTCCTCCACGAAGCCATCCCTTCCCTTAGGCAGATAGCCCTCGAGGCTTTGCCGTAATTAAATAACCTAACCTTTAAAAAGTCCTCCACGAAGAGACCCTCCTCTTAGGCAGACAGCTCTAGTATGCTTTGATGTAGTCAAATAAGCCAAAACATTCTGTTGACGAAAAAGATTGCATTTATCGTGAATAATTTCTAATGCAAAAGTTATACTTGTTACTAAGGAAAGAATTTATTTTTGTGTAAAATTCAGATTGCTTGAATTTTAATAATTCTCAGAAACGAAACACAAATAACAAAAAACTAAAAAAAATATTCATAATTAATTAGGATATATAAACGATGTAATCATTAAGCATATTTTTAGTAAGAAAGAATATTTTGTAATAAATAAATGAAAAATATATTTAATATTAAAGAATCCTCTATATATCTCTACAAAGTATAAAAATTACAAATATTTTTCAAGGTGCATGTGTATATGTACCTGATAAAAATATTTACATTGTTTATTATTCTAGCGATATTTTTAACCAGGTGCATATTTTCCGTGAGGCATTTTCCGGAGATTTTTTTTCCCGATATACATTTTCAGGATATTTTCTTGGCATTCGTTTTTACTCAAGTGGTTAGATTAAAGTGTTATTTTGTATGCTGTGAAACCTAACTAGAATTTATTTTCATTCCATAGTTGCTTCACATAAATTTTCGATTTCATGTAATATTCAGTTTCATAATGGCACTATCATTTTGAGATTTACTATACTTTTTTTCAGTTTTTTTTTTTATTAAATGTCGTCTACAACTACTTTCAATAAAATACTGATATATATAGGGAAATATAACATACACGCGCACTCATGCTCACAAACATACATCACCATATGTATACACAGTGTTTTGTATGTGTGTTTACATATATATATATATAGTTTACATACAAAACAGTTTTAATAATTCCTACGAAAAATGTGATAAATTTTCACGAAATAAACTGCTTAAATTTATATATATATATATATATATATATATATATTGCGCTTTCCATAGTTTAACATAGATGAAGTTTTTAAAGTCTGAATTTAAATAATGATATTGTGTTTATATGTACTGTAATTACTGATGAAAGGATGTTTCTGAATTTAAAGCCAGGGTAGCTTAAATTACTAACAGACGGCAAATACACAACTTGAAATCAGAGTCTTTGGAAGAAGCAATAAATTTAGAATTTACGGCAGCTCCATTTCTCGTCATAGTTAACAAAATGAAAGAACTGAGAAAGATAGATAGCGGATGCTTTTTTGTCCTTGCACAAAGGTAATGGTCTCCCATATAAAGTAGAAAATGTACAAAGGTGGTAAGCTTTTAGTTCAGTACCCCCTGGAGGTATATTTACGTTGAAGTCAACTTGGAAGATTCCGCTATTAGGTGTTTTCTTTGAAAAGGGTAATATCTCTTTTTCAGCACATAACCAGAAATAAGAGTTTATGTTTTCATTACTTAATCTTCAAAGCTGTATAATTTGGAGCATCTGCTCGAAAAACTGTTAACTTATTTTTCATCATTCATGAAAAGAATACACACCTGCGTAAATGTCTTGGAGAAATAATATCGTTAACAATTTTGCTACAAAGAATTTTTTTTTTTTTTGGTTTCTATTAACATCTCGATAATGCACGTAGTATATAAATACTTGCATTGTAACTCATATATAGCTAATTACAAGGAAATTGCATTGTAACTCGAAAATACATTTATTTTCTCAAGAAGCTCCTTTGTCCAAGCTGTTTACTTGTTTTCTACCCCCAAAGTGATTTTACTCTATAAAAGCCGAACTGCCTGATCTCATTCATCAGCCACTTCATCTATTCTGCTGTTGAGTTATGCGATATACATGCATACATACGTATGGACATACGTCGCGCTAAAACTAGTCATAAGTCCCAAATATAAAATTTCAACATTTTATGTTAAGTTATGCGACATACGTACGTGTAAACGTCATGATGGAACTATTCAAAATGGAAATTTCCTTTGAAATATGAAAATCGAAATGTTTCACGATTACAATACTTTATTTATTTCTCACAAGGGAAAACGGTGTCATAAATAACTAACTACTAATAAATTTATGATGCAATCTAAAGAATTATTTAAATCTAACACTTTAAACTGGAATAAACTTATAATATTTGAAAATTAAATATAAACATAATACTAAAATAAGTTGCGAATAATTTGTATTCGAAAAATTGGAACACGAGAGAAAAAAATTCTCACAAATTCCCTTTGTATATTAAAAAAGTATTTCCTCAGAAAATAAGGATAAAAAAATGCAAGATTAATTTTTCACCATTATCGAAGCAATTTCTTAAAGAAACTGGAAATTTAAAGCATTTTACGTAGTTTCTCTTACTGATGTATATTGACTAACTTTCTGTATTCGGCACATATCTTGATTTAAGGTACGAGTAATATACAGTAATATGTGTTAGTGTGCAAATTATAAAGTAGCCAAATAGGAGATGAAAATACTATTTTAGCAACCAGTCTCGTGACGAAGATACCATAAGGAGAAAAACTAATTTCACTCGCTAAATTCAACGGAGGGGAGAATTAGCTTAATTATATCCACATGGTAAGGGGGGCCCGCTTTTGAAGCAGTTTGAGTAAAAATGCTTGCCGCTTTTGCGACAGACCTGGTAAGAAAACACGATTATTTTTACGTCTTTTCCTGAAAAAACCCGTAACGCTCGGGGGGTTAAAAGAAAAGAGAGAGATGTTCAAACTCTGTGATGAATTTTTACAATGAACTAAAATATGGGGAAGGAGAGAGTGGAAGCGTGTTTACAGCACCACTCCTCCTGAACTAAAATGCGTTCACTACAGAACTGTGTCCTGAAGAACCATTGAATCCCCACTTTTGAATTAAAGAAAGTTTTTCCGGCTAGTCTTGGTAACGTGAAATAACACTTTCTTGCACAATAATAATATTTACAGCAAGAAAATGAAAAAATTAGAATGTCCTATTTCTGCTATAACTATTTATTATCATTATGCAAACAAAAGTGCCGGAACTGACCCGGAAACTAAACTAAACGATTTCATTCTTCTTTGTTTTAAAACCACAAATTTTAACCATCATAATTCAATAATTCAAACTTTTTATTACTAAGCACAAATGATAAACGTGCATTAAAACATACATACCTGTACTTGACTTACCCGTGAGAAATAGTTAAAATAAAAGGACAGTAAATCAGATCAAACATTTATCCTACGAAATGCTTCAGAAAGACTTAAGAAAAGCTTTCTAACTCTCAATTTACTTTTAACACATATTTCAAACAGAAACAAAGAAACAAAAACAAGAAACTAAAATTTCCATTAATAACTTTTGCATACTCAAATTTGAGAATGTTTTTGTTACAAAGAAAGCCACGTCCATGGTTACCACATGCAAATAAGCTCGGAAGAAAAAGCAGTCTTTCCCTAGTGCCCAGTCCTAGTGCCTAGTGAAGAAAGAAAGACAACATTTGAAAACTTTTTAATTGGTTTGTTTCCTTGTTTTATCGATTAGAGAAAAGCATGCGAAGTTATTTATCTAAGGTAGAACTTCCTAATAAAAATTGACTCGTATTCATCTTGAAACATTTTAGAAAAATCAGGAACCTAATTTTACACTGTATTTTAATCTGTTTCCTTTAAACGATTTCCTATTTATTGCACCCTTTTGAAACTGAAAGGAAAGCGTTACATAGATTCTAATATAACGCAACAGGAAAGCGTTACGTCGAAATCTATTTCCTTATTTTAAACTTTTAACAAACGAATTACATTGCATTAAGCATCTTTCCATTTTTAAAAAATAAAATGTCTCCGGGTAATTTAAAGTTTCCTAATTTTCAACAAAATAAATACCTAAAATTGTCCAATATTCGAAACATCTTCAGAACTACTTAATTCCAATGGCATGAAACAGTACCGGTGTGGAGTTAAGATTACAACAGTAGGAAACGTTTCCGTTAATACAGAAGCAAAACATTTTAAGTATTAAAACGTTAGCTTTTTTTTAATGATAATAAATAAAAATAATGCTTTTTAACGCAAAATAACTTAAATAGAAACTTACTAGTTTTCAGACATGCCCTTTCATCACTATAATCTCCGCAGTTGTTATATCCATCGCAGATGAAACCTTTATAGATACAATATCCATTGTCACAAAGGAAATTTCTTAGAGTATCACAAGGAAGACCTACAAAAATAATATGACACATATAAGGCATTCAAGGGGAAGTAATAAAAATTTTGAAGTATTATATTCAATTAACATTTGAATAAACTACTTCAGAAACTTAACACTAGCTAGGCAAAAGAAGAGGAATTGAACTAGTTGCACTTCTACTCAGATTAACGTTTTTGCATTTGAATCAATGTAGTCTTTAATTAAAATATAGTCTAAGACGAAAGCATATCAAGTTTTACTTAAGTAGAATATTGTTAGCGCTGTAGCATTCTACATGGCATGTAGAAAGGAAATACATTCCGACAAAAATACATATATATCAGCTTTCAGTTGTTGAGTGAAACATATTTTGGATGCGAAAGAGTAGAGAATGGTTTGATTAAACCTCTCTATAATGCCAATCTGACTGGGGATGTAACGGTGTCGTTTGAGTTTTGTCGATGCCGAGTAGCTTGCAGAGTTCTTTAATTAAAGTCGAGGTAAAATTTCTTCCTTGATCGGAATGTAACTGAACAGGCATTCCAAATCTGGAAATCCAATGCTGTATCATTACCTCTGTTACTGTGAAAGCCTCTTGATCAGAAATAAGATACGCCTCAGACCACTTGGTGAAGTAATCAATGACAAAAAGGATGTATCTGTTGCTATCAACAGTTTGTGGCAGAGTTTCCAGGATGTCAAAGGCGATGTGTTCAAAAGGTGCTCCTACACTGTAACGTTGCAGCCTCCGTCGGCTGCGTTTCTTCAGTCCTTTCTGGACTCGCACAGGCATCGTAAGATTGGCACCGCTATTGCATTACTCCAGTAGAAGCGCTCTCGAACTCTGTGAAAGGTCTTCATTATTCCGAAGTGGCCTCCTGTACGGCTAATATTTAGTTCTTCAAGGACGTCCGAGATCTCGGAAGTAACAGCTGCTATCGGAAAGCGCTTCCATCATCCGATTCGAATGTCCGGTAAAAGACGTAGTTTGGAATATGAAGTGAGGTCCCAGAGAGCCCAATATTGTTTGTCGTAGGACTACAAATCGAAATGTCCTGTCAGGTTGGTTTTTCTGTTTGAAGACCCCATTATGTCAATTATGGGTTTAATGTCTCCGTCTCCCAGCTGGACTTTCCTGACTTTTTGTCACTCCATTGGTCTCGATCAGCCGATGTTGATGTTGTAATTTCTCGTGCGACTGGATTAAGCAGCTCGTATTTCGCTTCGGCCCTGAAATAATATCGGCAGATTTCTGGGCAAGGTCTTCTAGACAGGCCGTCGGCGTTTCCATGTGATGGTCCCTTCCGATGACGGATAGTTATGTCATATTCCTGGAGTCTCTGTATCTACTTGGCTATTCGACCTTCAGGATACTTGAAATATAAAAGTCAGGTAAACGATGCATGATCCGTGCCTAGCAGTAATTTTCAGCAGTAGTTTCTAAAAGATGGAAATGTTCTATGGCTTTAACTATGGCGAGCAACTCTTTGCTGGTGACACATTAATGCCTCTCCGGTTTAGATAGGCACTTGTTCCAGTAGGCCACGATACGTTCTTGGCCGTATATTTCCTGGGACAAAACAGCACCGACACTCTCATTTCTGGCATGTGTGTCAAGAATAAATGGTTCGTTGAGCTGAGGATACGTGAGGATTGGAACATATGTTAAAGCTTCCTTCAGGGTGTTAAATGCATTCTTACATTCCTTTGGCCACTAAAACTTTTGCTTGCTCTCTGTGAGCTTGTGAAAGGGTCTTGTGATGGAAGAAAAGCCCTTCGCGATTTTTCTATATTAGGTGCAAAGCCCTAGGAAACTTCTCAGCTGTTGGACATTTCTGGAGCGTCTCCAGCCTTTAACTGTTAATACTTTTTCAGGATCCGTACACACACCTTCAGCAAAAATGACATGTCCGGTGTAAGTCACTTCCTGTCTGAATAATTTATATTTGGAAGAACTTAACTTTAGATTGCCTTCTTTAAGTTTCTGAAGCACCATCCTAAGATCTTCTAGATGTTTTTAGAAACTCTTCCCGATGATCAAGATGTCATACAAGTATACCAGCCAGACTTCGTAATGAAGTCCCCTCAACACGGTCTCCATGAGGCGTTCGAATGTTGCCAGCGTATTACATAATCCAAACGGCATCACCGTGAACTGTCAAAGTCCTTGCCCGGTAGGTCTCTGCGCGGTCATTAGGATGTATCTCTACCTGCCAATATCAACTCTTTAAATCAAGGGTCGAAAACCACATGCTTTCAGAAAGAATGCCTAAAATGTCGTCAATTGTAGGAAGAGGGTAGCTAACTTTCTTCGTAAATTCATACAACCGGCGACAGTCAATGCAAAATCTAGTTGAACCGGCTTTCTCTGACCCGGACGATGGGTGATGCCCATGGAGTTGCTTAAGGCTCGATGAAATCGCTTTCTTGCATGTCCTTTAGAAAGTTCTCAATGACATCCCTACCTCTTCCTGTTTTTAGCAATCGGTAGACGTCTTGGATGTTGGATATTGCTTGATTGGTGGAATACTTTCATTATCGATTCTGTGCTGTGTCAAACTGGTTCGACCCACGTCAGAAGACGAGCGGAAGAAAACATCTCGAAATTTCTGAATGTCACGTTTGACAGCATTCCTTTCTTCATCTCCTAATTGTGCATTCTGCAATAATTTGGATGTAATACTCTCCGAAGACACGGATTCTGGATGTTTACTGTTTCGTTCAACTTTGGTTACTGCAGTACATGCTGCAACCACTTCACCTTTCCTAGTTATTTTCACTTTATCACTGACGTTAATGATATTTTAGATGCTACCGAGCTTCTGCCATCGAAATGTGTTATTTCACGGGCGCTCGCATCGTGTCTAGGAGGAGAGAGAAGCGTTCCGCTGGACTTCTTGGTGTCTGTGGGGCCTGCGATCTTGGGGGCCAGACTAAATGTTTCCCTGTTTTGTGGCATGATTCGCAATTTGTTCGGGTGGGGGGCGGCTATGAGAAATCTTAAGAAAAACTTGCACACGCTCAGTACAGTATTCTAGACAAAGTTTTTATGAAGTTTTGGAAACATAGGCAACTCGTCTTAGATCAAGCGAAGACCTGTGTATTCAGTGCTAGGATAATGAATGTTCAGCTGTACTGTAGTTTAATACATTACGCTGCTGGCACTGAGTATGAAATTTATGAGCTGCAATTAAACTATTCGCATGTTCTGAAAAAGATACTCTTTCAACTGGATACCTACTAGATTATTCGTTTCGCAACGTAACGATGCAACGCAACCCAAAGTAATTGTTCTGCTCATTGCTATTTATTTTTTCATCTTTATGTACAAGTTCAATAAGCTTACACAGCCTTGTAAGCCTGGGTAACATTAACTCACGAGCTCTAGAAAGACTGTAGAGGAATTACCCTCGTTTCTTTAACTGTAGGCAGACAAAGCCAGAAGAAGTACATAAATAGCCCTTTTATTCGATCAAAAATAATTAACAGTCGACCTCTATGGGTTTACATTAGCCAGCACTTTTGGTTTAACTTAAAGCACGTAATCTTGGACTTAAAATGCAATTTGGACTAGCCTAACCGTTCACAGGATAATGTAAACGCGCAGGATGACTCTGGCTCGTAGAAGCCGGTGAAACAAGCTTAATGGCTAGAAGCACTCAGCGCCACAGAATCAAATCGCTATTTAGTCACGATAACAACATAGCCTCAAGTAAGCAAAACGCGCTCTAAAATCCTTCGTTTGCAAAACCTTCGCTTAAATAATATTTCTTTCTCCTTTCAACTGAATAAACGCGCACTATCTAATTTACCTTCTGGCATGAAAAGCGCGGATGAAAAGAAGCGTGACAGTGAAGTTGCTTAACTTAAAAATAACTATTAGGCAAAATAAAAAAAATAAAATTCTCACATTTTTTTTCCCCTTTTTTTGGTCCATCGTATCCTATAAATGTTCCATCTCTCGCTTTACCTTCATATTTTCAAACCAAATACGGGTGCGGCGGCAAGAGGCTTGAGGCTTCTTCACGCCAGCTATCAGTAGACAGATGGATATCATTGCTGAACTCGTCTGCTTGTCAACTAAGTTCGTACAGGTGATCGATCATACCGGTGTTGTTTAGCTCTAAGATCTGTACAAGCGCAGTGCTGAATTTGCTGCTTTCCGAAATGCAAAGGCATTTTGAATGGAGCGTGATCTTTGACTTCTATATTCATTGCTAGTAAATTGTATTGCATTTTCTCATAATGCTTGATTGGAGTGCAAACTAGGAGACGTGATTCAGAAACACTTGGACATCTTATAAAATTAAAACGACAGCCTGGAGCAAAGGGCCTTCTGAAAGGCATAACAGATCTCATGCTTAAAAGGTCCATTTAAGCTGAATGTATTTTTATGCTTTCTCTTAATCTCTCATTTCATTTCCTCCACAGGAGAAGTTTCACGAACATGTTGGTAAGGAGATTTTCACCAAATTCTGAAATGACGCGTTATTTCTAGCAACGCGGACTATTTAGATTAATTTTTCCTAGATTTTATTAATTTTCTTTAAAAATTTTATTAACAGAGTTAAATCTTTGTTAAATGGACTCCATATAAATCTTTTGACCCTTTTAGTGTCATATAAAAGCTATATATTATCAATATGATTTAGGACATCTAGATTTCGAAGTTTTTCACCATATTATAAATACAGAAAAATAATGCTGATTTACCGTTTAAAGCAGTACTAGACAGTATTATGTACGCTCACGAACTATTTATGAAATTCACTGTAATGTATAATATAAATGCATAATGTAGAAACGGACTTTTTTAAAAAAATGACATTTAGCAAACTTACCTGCAGTTGCTGTGTAGATCATAGAAACACCCTCCAGATTATCTGTTGCCCTTCCTCCTGCATGGGTAAAGTAGTGGATTCTGATAGACTTTCCGTAGTACTGCATATTTTCGTCCAGGTCATTTTTAGAACCACAAAGTGCAATACTGCGTTTTCCATCAGAAATCTAAGAATTTATAATGTAATGATATGGAATGAGAATAAAATATGAGAAATAATTAAAATAGAATAAAACAGTCTGTTATACAACACTTTATATTCGTTATAATTAGAATTACAGCAATAATTGTGTAATAACAATCGGACAAAGTATTCACTACTGCCAATTTTACACGTAACATTTAGGAATATTTATCAGTGTTTCCATAACACACTGTGATACAGAAAGAATGGGAGACGTACAGAATAACAGAGGTGCCTCTCTTAACTAACGCCTGACATTTTGAATGACTCGCATAATGAAAGAATGCACGAAATCTTTCTAATTTTTTAATCTTTGCTTAGGCTCATGAAAGTATACAAAATGGGTATGCACATAAACTAAAAATCAAACAGATTAGGGGGAAGTAAATATATTTTTTATTATTATATTACCACTAAAGAAGAGCGCACCCTTCTTGCGCAGAAACATGGAGAATCTTAGAAATTTCTTTTGACAGGAACAGGAGAACTCAAAGGTTCAAAGGGTCTACAATCATGAACCACCTTCTGAAAAAGAGGGAAGAATTCTAGGCTTCAAATACGCAGTACCAACTCCAGACACTAACTACTTTAGGACATTTTTATTGTGAAGAAGAAGTACATCTTCGTGAAACCTAGACCTCCCTCCTTCCAGAGAGAGATATGAGAAAAAACATGAAGAATAACCGTGTGTTCACCTCCACTCCAGTAGAAGAATGTAGAATAACTCTGACTACAAGCACAAAAACCATTTGAGTCCGGTACATATACAGTATATATAAATAATTTCATAACTAATTTATTAATGGCGAAAACAATCACACCATTCTTAATATTTCTAACATTAGTGGTGTTTAAATACTCTGTAAACTTTTTAATGAATTTTGCTATTTGGAATCAGGTTCCAAAATCGATTGTTCCCGTAAAGTTCGGGAAACAACGTCCCGCATAAGGAATACGTTTCGGGAACGGATAGAGTTTTCATGCGAGGCACCACATGGATTGCTAAACACTGGATTACTGAATGTTTTTAGCTTTTTTCGAAGTTTATGAGAGTGAGCATTCATGGATCAAAAGTCATTTGAAGTAGATTTGTAAATTTCAAGGACTGTAACAAAATTAATATTTCGTATACGATAACGAATAGGTAAAAATATGTCTGTCCTTTGATAATGCTGTGTTAATCAAACTGAATAGTATTTCCTTGAAATCTTTGAAAGATTGAAAACCCATAGAATTTCAGCAACTCGTAAAATAGATTATCATTTTCACGATCCTTGCTTACAGCTATGTTACGTAGTTAGGCTACGCAGCTAAGTCATGTGATCCTTTTCAGGCAGAATCTTTCTCCTGATATGCTGACCTACATGCAACTCAACTTTTACATTCTTCCGAATAAAAAGTTTCGGTTGGAAATTTACCTTTCAAACCAGTTCTGAGAGCACGCATTGCTAGGAAATGTTTTCTGTTACTTTCTTACTCTTTAATGTGATAGCGTCTTAGCACAACATAGTGCCACAGCTAAAACATTGTTAAATAGTAAAATTTATTTCATTAATCAGCTTCTAATCCTTAAGATAATTTAAAAAAGTTATGTAAAGTTGGTATAGTTGTTGATTTAATGAACTGTCAATTACACAAATAAACAATTTTTTATTATGAAGAAGTAGATATTGGTAAGAATCAACACAAGGATACCAAGAAGAGATTCTCACACTCTCAAATTTTCTTCCTATAAAAAAACTGAAATTGAAAAACATTTTTGAGAAACAACAGAAATTGTTAAGATGCAGAAAACACAATCTTTCCTTGCTGAAAATAATACAACATCAAGAGCAAATACTCCCATTCGTTGAACTTTCATATTAAAAGGTAGTCATAATAAAAATGCATATCCCCCTCCATATTATTTAGCTTTACTTATTAAAAAAGAGCTAAATGTAAAATATTTATCTTTTGTTCTTACAGAAATCATTTAAATAAGTAAACAAGTTTGCCCACGGCGTTTTCGACAAAAAATTAGAGTACTTTCCACGAAGTTACGTACAAAACGGTTAAAAGACTGTAATTGTGATTAACACTACTCCTTCTTGAACACTTGAATAAGGTGCCGGAAAAAAAATGCAAAAAAGGATTGTCATCATAGAGATAACGCCAAATAAATTATACCTACAAGAAAAAAAAAATTAATCATTTTAATGTTTCTCAAGGCTAGTTTTACCATTAGATAAGCCTAGGAAATTGTCTAGAGACGTGGTTCTCAACGTTTTCAGCCCATGTACTCCTTTCCCCATTGTTAGAATATCATTAACCTTCCTCCTTTCCCAACCTCGCAAAATACATAGATAAATTAATTTAAATTTAGATTACTTTTTAACTTATTTCAAAAATTCAACAAAAAAATGCATACAAAATGTTGATAAATACCAACATTTGAATAAAAGTTGTATTTTATATTCAGAACTATAACTAAATACTTAAAAGATAAATAAAAAGTTGACTGCATTCCCCCTAAAGCTATGAAATTACCCCTAGGAGGAAATCCCCATGGTTAAAATCCCCTGGTCTAGAGGTCCCAATATACGGGAAACCATCTTTTATTCATGAACAAAGTAAAGGTAGATTACGATTTTTTGATTCTGGCAAAACATTGTTTGATTTAATAGTAAACAAATAATTAAAATAAATATATTTAGAATTTTAAATGCAAATAAGGAAACAACTACTACGATACAACTACTCGACTTATAGTAAAGTACTCGAGGGCTAGCTGCCGGGAAACAGCCCTTCGAGGACGACGTTTTAATGGAAACTGACTCGTGTTCATGTTACACATGGAAAAAAATCACGAAAGCTCTTATTCAGCCAGCTCACTTGTCGGAATTTGACCTCATGTCGAACTACCAGTGTTCAGAGATTTTAATGCTTGGCCCGTGATAAACCTTCACAAATAAGGAAAAGAAAAATGCATAGGAAACGAAAATGATATCAAATGATGCCATAGTAGTATATGAAAGTGGTTTTTATTCCATTATAGTACTTAATTTATATGTACATATTGTACATAGTAGAGACATTAGGTAATTTGGAAGCAGGAAAGATGAAAAGTGAGCAACCGCCTTAGCCGGGAATCGAAGCACAGACCTATGGAATACGCGCCCAGCATGCAGACCACTACACCAAGAAGGCGGTAGAAATACCTTATAACGTAATAATGAGTATATAAATATTGTTAAATCATCCGTTAAAAGAAAGTTTCTCAATATTAAAAGTAAATCAAGTATACAGCCACAAACCTTCTGTTTCAAAATAACTGCATCAAAATGCAAGAATAATGTAAACAGAAACACACATCATGTGTACTGTGAAGTAATAATAATAATAATAATAATTAAAGAAACAGGAGAGAAAGGGGATGTATGCGCGCTTTCTCTCAAGAGAACGCTCATTTAATTTGCATGACCAAATAAATGCATTTATTCGCCAGCGCAGTTTACAGGAAGAAAAAAATGGTAACCCTTCTCTTGAGTATTTTTTACTGTTCTCGGATTAATCATGATTTTGAATTAAACCTAGATGTTGCTCCTGGTATTACCCGGTTAATCAGGACATGACTGTACTTCTAAAGGTATGTTAAATATGTAAGTATACAGTTGTATGCATGCATTTCTTTGGTTTATGAACATTGCAACGTGTCTTGTGTAGGTAGGAAAGCGCAGTGAAACCTCACTAAAAACACCACTCATGGTTCAAGACGACACTGGTTTTCTAGGATGTGGTAGCTTTTCAAAGATGTCGTTCAGTACCAAGGTTTGTTTAGGGATTAAAGAATGCGTGCTAGTACTCTTAAAAGTAAGAGGTATATATGTAGACGCTGGCACAAGAGAGCTTAATTTTTTTCCTTTGTCTAGAGACATTAAATTATCTTGAGAAGGCCCTGATTTTTCTTCTTAGTACCAGCAATCTCTCATGAAGCAGCCAAAAACTATTTTAATAATTTTGAATCCACATGCAACCTTATAACATACAAGTCATAGAATACGCGAATATATATTCACAAAATATCCAGAATTTAAGGGTAATACTAATTTTTTACTCTTGGATATATAAATAAATATACAACTAAGAGAAAATAAGTGCATAGAAAATATCCAAGGCATGTACATGCAAAGTATTTAGAAAAAAAAAAATTGCATGACTAAATACTCTTCAGCAGCTGACGGTATATCATTGATTCTAGTTTAAGAAATAAATCAAATAAAGTTACCTTTCAGAAAATGGAAACTTTTATCCGCAAAATATTATACGGAAAATACAAGAAATTTAAATTTTTATGTATTCCTGTTTAAGGAGAAAATTGAAGTTAGTCGTTTCTACCGTTATCTAACATATAGGTTTTATTAGCTTCTTTCCACTGGATTATTTTACACTGTTATTAACTCATGTCAGTCTTGATTACTTTTTGAGTTTTAAACATTCTGATGTTCCTAATGAAATATGATTACTTTTTGTCTTGAATGGAAAAATAATCGAGCTTTTGATATATTCCTTATCATCTTTGAAGCATTAAAAGGAACCTCCGTTGTTTTACTGCTGTAGTAAACTAATGCTAAAAAAAATTCAGATTTAGAGAATAAAAGTTATTTTTCTACTTTCAATTTAATTAAGCACAGAGTTCCTAAAAGCCTTTACAATCTTCATGTTGTAGGGTTTATATTTATTTTAACTAACATTTATTTTAAGTTTAAACTATCTTTCCTGTCAAGCCTTACTTTCCCCTGGAATTGCCAATGCCAGAGTATGTAAATTTTAGTAGAACGCGCAAGGATTCAAATTGTCAGCGGAAGTAATCTGAGTTAAATAGAAGGGAAACGAGTTCGAAAGTGTGCTTTCTTGCTTCACGAGCGTGGAGGTGGCTAGTTAGAAATTGAAGAACCACGCGTTTCGGCCTGTGTGCTTGCCTCGGCCAGAATCGTTAATCTTTCAACGTAATATTCAGAAGTTTGCTGAATTATCAGCGGTATCTTAGAACGCGGTGAGGTTAGTTACGTTTAGAGAGCCTCGTAGTTAGTCACTTGTTACATCTCTTTTCAGTTTCTTATTTTTTTTTTTTTTATTTACCGCCGGGTCGGCGTAGTTTGTGAGCGTCAAGAGCACGCATTTGTAATTTCTAAAGTTGAATAAAAAGGGATTTAAACCCTTCTCAAGACTTTGTCTACTTTCCAGTTCTCAGCAGTCACCACTATTGTTGCGTGCAGGTTGGAAGCGCGCAACATTAAATTGGCGCCCGAACACTTGTCGAACTGAAATGGCCGAAAATTGGATGGAAGTTGCTGGACAACAACAAGAAATGGCAAGCCAATTGGAAGGATTTGGATACCTGGTCCAGACGATGAGAGCGTCAATTAAGCCAAACGTCAATTTCGACGGAAAAAATTCGGTGGCGATGTTTCTAGAAGGCCTAGAAAATCACTTCCAGCTCTACCCTGTGCCTGAAAGACAAAAAGTTGCCATCGCCACATCTGCACTAAGAGGATAGGCCGCGCTATGGTGGAAGAATATAGGCAAATTTTTATTAGGGGAATTCGGAGGCCAGACATATACATTTGAAAATTTCAAAAAATCGTTATTAAAGGCCTTCCCCATAGTGAAAGATCGAGCAAAGCTAGAAGCCGAACTATATAGTTTTGCCTGCTAATTTATGTAACACATCTTTTTATAACAGGTCATAAGGTACTTTCTCCCTTCTTTCTGCATACTTTTGTGGTGTAACAGTAGCACACTTGGCAAGTATTTGAGAGGTCTAGGTTTGAGCGCCGCGAGGGCATTGGTCATTTTTTCACGTTTCCAGCGTTAAAACACCCTAATGACTCTACAGTAGCGCCCGAACTAAAAGAGGTGGTGGATGATAATTCTTCACCACAAGGATTTGGCGATTGGATCCCTTAATTCCGAGTCGCCCTTTAAAAAGGGGATTATATTTTCTCCTTACTTTCTGCATGCCTTCGTGGTGTAACGGTAGCACATTCGGCTAGTAATCCAGAGGCCCAAGTTCGAGTCCCAGCGAAGGCATTGCTTATTTTTCGTGTTTCTTGCTACAAATAACCTGATGACTTTACCAAGTGTGCAGCATTTTGTTAAATGCAATTATTCGGACAATAAGAATAATGCTTTCAACTTTATTACGAAATTTTCTGTGGAACATAACCGTGAAAGTATTGCTACGAAATGAAATCTTTAACTATAATTAATTTAAATAACATTTGATATTTTAAAAAAAGGAACAAACGAAAATTTCATTCACGGTTCAGCAGAATAAGCGTATTTAGCTAAAGTTAAAAATTAGATTTTAATGCAAAAAGAAATTTTTGATTTTATGAGGTATTTCTTCCACCTTCTTGGCATGCCTTCGTGGTGTGGTGGTCTGCACGCTGGGCGCGTATTCCAGAGGTCCGCGGTTCGATTCCCGGCGAAAGCGTTGCAAATTTTTCATCTCTCCGGCTTTTCCAATTAACCTAATGTCTCTACAGTTTCAACAATAAATTAGTGAACAATCAGCTTAGTATCGAACTTAGAGAGCGCTTAATTCATTGCAACTTAACTTTAATGAATGCATTAAGAACTAAATTGTATAAAATAATAAGACTTAAAATTGTGTAAAAATATGTCTTAAAAACTGCTTAATAAGCACAAATTAAGGCCTGCTGCATTTTAAAAGGAAAATTGAAAATCCACTTAAGAAAACATATTGAAAATTTAATGAATGCGTTAAAAGGAAAAATTTTAAAAAGATGAAGTAGAATTAATGAAAAATGAAGAAACATAAATTTGTGGGCGGGACTTAGCCTTGATCAATGCTATGGTGTCCAGTAGTCACCTTACGAAAACACATTCTGAGTAACTTAAGCAAAGATTATTTACAGCAAATTATTTACAACACGATACGATTTCAATAAAACTTGAACTTCTGGGATAAATATTAGCAATTTGAGCTAAAATGATTTAACAAAGATTATTTACAACAAGTTACGAGTTCTAATTAAACTTGATCTTCTGGGATAGATAATAGGATAAATAACGAAATTTCTTAAGTAAATATAGAGTAAATAAGCTTAAACTGAGTTCATATGAGTATATAGGAAAAGTACAAAATATATTTTACTTTTATATAATCGTGGCATCCAGGTCTGAATTGGACTTGTCTCACGTTAATTATAAGGCCATAAACTGACGTAATTTTGAAACTGCAGTTTCTTCCAAGACTGTATGTTCCCCTTCTGCTTGATTTTACTTCTCCTGTAGACTGCAGACCTACACTAGGTACCGAAATCCAAAGATCTTCACGTGAGTTTAAGTTACTTATGCGGCAGATATCGTCTAGATAATCTAAAAAATGTTTAAAATAAGGAATGCATAAAATTCATTAAATTACACGACAAGAACAAAATCCTCGAATTTTCTTTTCGCGTGGAATTGAACTAATAACACTATTTACGCATAAAACAGCTATATAGAAAGTGATTAAAAATATTTGACAAAAATGTAAAGAGGACCGATATAAGCAGATTTTAGAATGGGCGGAAATGTAGAATTGAGGTTGTACAGGGATTTGTTGGCCAGGTGGATAAAAACGTTTTGCTAGCATAAATCGTCATTCCTCTGGTTGATTTCCAAAAACATGCAGCTCTACACGAGAATGGAGCTCGCTAACATGCATTTCACATATGAGGCCTAAGGGAAACATATGCTCAAAGAGGGTACTCAGGTATTATGTGTTGCGCCTCCTTTGAGTAGCTGCTTAGTTTTAGCCCGATCCCTTAAGTTAAATGAATGTCGACTAGCTCCAATTCCTTGTAGAAATACACATTGCTCGAAAGCGCAAGGAGAACGAACGATTTACTTAGAAGAATGCTTTTATTTACCTCCCACACATTCGATTATAAAAACCAACTTACTTCGGTCCCCCTCTACCTATCTCTGCATTTTATCATATATATTTTAATCATCTTACATGATAAAACTACATCTTCTGCACTTTTAAAACTATACACAGATCACTTTGTAAAAGTTTATATCTATTTTAGATACCGAACGTAATTCAACATGTAATCAATGTTCTTACCTTGAAATATGTGTCGCAAATGAAAGGTGGGGTTCATGGACCGACGAGAAATTAACTAATTTTGAATGTTACTTCAATTATTAAGAAATGTTCATTAAAATATGTTTCAATGGCTTGGCAGAAGGCTATAGAACATAAAACAGAAACCTGTTACCGAATAATTCCATAAAGGTCACATAAAACAGAAACTTGTCACTCATGCATTCCGTAGAGGTAAGAATTCATGGAGCCACTCAACCGGGATAAGGGTTAGCGACGCTGACTGCTATAGCGAAGGGCCCAGGTTCGAATCCCGGAGGTGGAATGGATGTTCGTAAATGTATAGTGTCTGTGCGGCATAGGGGTACTCTAAATATGCGGCGAGACAAAAGTCCTCTCGAGAGATTGGTCCTAGGGAAAAAGGGGTGGGAGACTCTCGGACCTGTTTCCCCAGGGTGCTCTCCATCAAAATTTGGGGCGGTCCTACTGTCACCTGTATGGTGCTCAAAGCTCTTTCCAAAGACAGAAGCAAACTTGCACTCTTTGCCACGATAAATTTCGTGGGCTTGTGCTGATGTTACTGTCAGACAAGTGAGATAAGTCGCATCAACAACAGAAAAGGCGCAAATGTAGACAGGGGAATTAAAATATGCAGTATTCTTATGAGATAGAGGTTGGATCGCCGAATGCAAATAGGCAACCAAAATTAGCATAAAACGCAAATCCGCCGTCACGCCTTAAAAAGAGGCTTGCGAGAACCTAGACATCAGTTTGCAAGCAGAGATAGTTCCGTGTAATGCGAGATAACCAAAGCCGAAATGAAAGGTGGAGCCTTTCATTGCGATGAAGTGCCTTGGACGGTTGTCGGTTGTCGGTATGGTGCAAGACAATCCGCTGTTGTGAGAGAGATAAATGGGCATCATAGTGTCATCAATAGGCTGTGGTCTCGTTACCAAAGCGATCAAAACCCTACAAAAGACGTGGGTGTGGACATCGGAGGATTACCACAACTGCAGATGATCACTTCCTTTTGCTATGTTCAAGACGCCGTAGATCGCTAATAGCACACCAGATGGCGTCACATCTGTCTGCTGCTGTAGGACGGTCCATATCCCGCCAAACTGTCTGATCGACTGCACGAAGGTGGGCTATACACCTAACGACCTGTGGTTTGTATTCATTTGCCTCCATCTCATCTCAGAGCGCATTTGAACTGAGCCTGTGGATATGGCAGTTAGACACCAGAGTAGTGGGGCCATGTACTCTTTACGGATGAATCACGGTTTAACATCCTGATGGATTCCCGAAGGGCACTGACAGGGCGAGAGCCAGGGATACGCTATCGGGCGCCAAACATCGTCGACAGAGACCATTACAGAGGAGGATTCTTAATTGTATGAGCTGGGACAGAAACAAACGCCGCACCGTCACCTATACGTGATTCCTGGTGGTTTCGTCACAGCCGTCCGATATCGCAACGCAAACTTCCACGAGCACTGCATTTTCCACTCCGACCCGTTTGGTTTTTCGCGATGTGATGGTCATAATACATGTGTTTTTGCATGTCTTTGCTTTATTGTTTGTTATGTAGTCTAGTAACGCCATAGTCTCTTGGATCAACTTCACGCATATCCATTAAATAGTTTTTTTTTTTTTTAAATTTATTTACGTGTTTTGCCTCTTTGTTGCTTATTTATTGAACAGGAGTGTATTTATACCAATAAGCAAAATTTCTAGCGTTATAATCCTAGAATTTTAAGAGGGGGATAGATCGCTAGGGATGTCAAATAGTGCAAATAACTTCCTTCGTTATTTTCTTTTGGATATACATAGAAATTCATGAATTAATTTAACACAATATTAATATTAATTTTAAGTAATTTAAAATTACGTAAATAAAAGCCGTCAGAATTTACTTTCAAAATTTTTTTCAAATAATCATAGTTCCACCATGCTGTATAAATAATATAATTATTTCACGTACATTATCCGTTAAAAAAGTCAAGAAATAGAATTTAAATAACATCACATTCGTTATAACCTCCAAAGTAAACTATAAAAAGACATTTTCAAAATATGATCCCGCCTAGGAAATTCTAACGCAAGAGAAAGAAGAAACAATGCGAATGGGAAAATATATAAATTACTTTATAAATATTTATATAAAAATGACCCACCTAAGCATAGTAATATTTTTGATGCATCACTTCAGCTGCATCGACGTCAATAGCATCCCATTGTAACGAGGGAGTGGATAAGAGGAAAATAAAAAAAAAGGGTGTGCGGGTTGAAAACTGACTGATTTCTGGATTCAAATTTAGGAGATGTTGTATGCTCCATCTACGTCTTGACTCCATTTTGCATTCACTTAAATTCAATAACTCAGACTTAAATTAAAATCGCTTAACTTTGTTTATTTTTTTTTCCCTCCATTTTAAAATGACAAGCTTATCCGAGGCTTAGCGTATCAGACAGTTGAACACTGATAGTTCTTGCTGGCTTCGAATCTCGGATGATGGGTTGGCTGCATGGTTGGTTGTTTTCGTGATTTTCCTCATGTGTAACATGAATTCGGGAACAGAAGCCTTTTTTCCTTAAAGGTCTTCCAATGCATCCCTTCTCTCTACTGATCAAAATAATATACACTCACGTTTGTGAAAATTGCAACACCAAAAAGGAATCGTCATAATTGAATGCAATTTAATACACAGTTGAGTGGTAGTGGTACAAATAAATGATTAAATGTTCAAAGCAAACAAACAAGAACAAGAGATCAGAATCAGTATTTTGTGTGGCCACCACGGGCCGCAATAAGTGCTGCTACACGACGTGGCATGGAGTCAAACAAAGTTTGAATGTCTGACTGAGGAAGAGCATTCCATATCGTTTGTACGCGTACCCAAAGTTCGTCTGCAGACGCAACAGGACGAGGATCACGAGCAAGACACCGACCAATGACATCCCACACATGTTCAATTGGCGACATATCCGGGGAACACGCTGGCCAAGGAAGAAGCTGTACCCTGCTGCGCTGCAAAGAAGGATTAACAATCCGAGCAGTATGCGGGCGGGCATTGTCCTGTTGAATACAGCGCCTGGCAAGCTTTGAAGAAGGGAACAGCTTCGGGCTGTAGAACTTCACGGATATACCGGTTGCTGTTCAGATTGCCCCAATTCGTAGCAATTGAGATCGTCTATGATATGCTATGGCGCCCCAGACCATAACTCCGGGTGTTCGTCCACTGTGGCGTTCGATAATGCACTCCGGAAGGTGGCGTTCACCGGCATAGCGTCTGACACGAATGAGGCCATCATGGTACCACAAATTAAAGCGGGATTCGTCAGAAAACACGACATGCTGCCAATCAGCACGCCAGTCTCTATGCTGATTGGCCCATTGTAGCCGCAGGCGGCGATGGTCGTGCGTTAGGGGGATCCTGTATAAAGGAGTCCGTGCGCGCAGTCCCACTGCAGCAGAAGTCTACGAATTGATGAAGCACACAATGAAACACCTGTAGCTATTGACCACAGTGCTGCAATTGTCTAGAGGAAGCTGTACGGTCCGTCCGCGCCATGCGGACCAGGTTCTATCATCGCGAGCTGACGTCACATTTCGGGGTCCACTCCCGGATTTCCGAGTTGTCCGACACTCGTCCGTCCACTGCTTCCAAACGCGCATCACTGTGCTGCTGTTACGCTGCACACAAGAGGCTACTGCACGATACGACAATCCAGCTTCACGAAGGTCGATGATTCTCCCTCGTTCAAACTCTGTAAGTTGTTCAAATCTCGCTCTCTTTCGTCGACGAGGCATAAGTACAGATTGAGTTAACGTTTACCACTAGCAGATAACCACCGATAACCATACACGCCTCGCTACAGCCGTCTATTTATTCGGATCCATCAGCCGTTCAGAGGGCGCTGCTCAGCATACGCATGCTACGGATTTGCAATTCTAATTATTTGCATATCATGCGCTACTTTGCATTTCCTGAAAACTTCAGCTCACTCGCGTAAGTCCTTCATGGTGTTGCAATTTTCACAAACGTGAGTGTATTTTACAACCGTTATGTACACCATGTTGAATAAAAAAGTATTAAGATTAACAGCTGTAAAAAACTGCATTTTGTGTTCCAAACGCAAAGCAGGCTCAAAAACAGTTTCCTTTATATAAAAATATATAACTAACAAACAGTAAATAAGCTAGGTAAAAATTAAAAATTTTAGGACTTCATTTCAAAAGATATAATCCATGTTTTGTAAGGCAGTGCGATTTCGATAAAGCAGCAAAATTATTTGCATTAGTTAGAATATTATAATAGTTTGGATCAATACGTAGGTAATACACAAATTTTGCAAGCGATTCTATTCATTTCAAATACATTACAAGAAAAGGGGAGGATCCGGTAATATTTTGCAAATTGACGCTTAAAATATGTACTCTCTGCACACACACACACGCAAAAAAAGGCGGGGGGGGGAGTGTACCCGTTCTACTGGGCCCGACTGACAAAATTAATTTCCTTTTCCCATGCCGCGCGAAAGCTCAACTTAGGATGTATATTAGATTTATATATAGCATTGTTCTAAAATAGGTACTTTAACCCAAATTCGGGCTTTTCTTAAATGGCATACCGATTTCTTTCCGTGTTTAGATTCTATGACTCAAATTAAACATTAAATTCTGTAAAATTTGGTGAGAAACTTACCAAAAAATTTAAAAATTAATTAGTCTGTGTCAAGAATTAAGAATTACATGGCGCTTAATTTATTAAGCAAAATTCTTAATTTGTGGTAACCTCTTTTCCTCTCCCTTTCATTGTGCACAAACGGGAAAAAAAAAAGGTGGATCGTGCATTCTTTCAAATAATTTTAACGTGTAAACCACATTTAGAGTTATTGTTGCTTATAGCAAATATGCCAAATTTCAAAGCGCTCCGATATGTAATTCCCCTATATCTTGGGGAATTTTGAATAAAAACTTCAAATTTTTGCAGATATGTCCAGAAATACATCGACTTTAAGGTGACTGTAAAAATTTCATAAATTATAATTAAAAAATGTCTTTGAATAATTCATAAAAATTACTAAAAATACAAATTTAAAAAATAAATCAGAAAAATATCCGCAGTTTTATTTAGGTTGAATCTAAATTTCGAAATGTGAAAGAAGTAATCAAGTTAGTCCAATAAAAAAAAGATATATTAATAAATACATACCAAATTCAGTTAACATTGAGGAGTTAAAATTTTGAGAGCTAATCTTGTAAAAACTACTCGTGCGATATTTACAAAACTTGGCGCTTTGGCATAATTTGAGTCGTATGGAAAAATTGGAATATTCAGTATGCCATTTCAGAAAAAGTTCGATTTTGTGTCAAAATGTCTATGTTAGAACAGTGCTATAAAAACTTAATCAAGAATATTTTTTTCTGGATTTTTTACAGTTAATTTTAACTCGTATCATTCTTTTTGAAGTACAGAAACAGCTGAATTTTTTTCAAAGAAATCTGATTAAAATGTATGTATGTGTAATTATTGCAAAGCCTCGAGGGCTATCTGCCTAAGGGGAGGGATGCCTTCGTGGAGGGCTTTCTAAGGAAAACTGGCTCGTGTACACGTTACACATGGAGAAATCCACGAAAACGCCCATGCAGCCAGCCCGTTAGCGGGATTCGAACCTCAGACCGAACTACCAGTGTTCAGCGACTTTACCGCTCGGCCGCTGGTGGGCCATCTGATTGAAATGAGTTCTAAATTTTTCCTGCTAGTTGAGTTTAAAATAATGGAATGTTTGGACAAGCAGAATTTGAACTCTCAGAGGTAATAACACTAAAACTCACGGATTTAAGTTATATTATGAAATTTTATACTTCGTCATGTAAATTTTGCTGTTGTAAGGGAAATTTTGTGTGTTTTATGTAATAATCGATGAAATACTTTTTCTCAACTAAAACCTCGTAGTTGATTCGAAGGGACTTAACCGAATCTAAAGGCGAAGCAATATATCAGAAGATTTCCTGTCAAATGGAAAATTTAAGAATATTTTCTAGGATTTAATGACTAGACTTTTTTAAAGCCAATTTTGGGTTCTTTTCTTCTTCAGATTAAAATTTCACTTTACAAGGAAGGAAGAAATAAGGTCATCTTGGGGATTTATATGTTTATGAAAACCATGGGAAAGAAGTGAAATTTTTCTTCGAATATTTTCCTAAAATGATTCACATCTCTAATAATTAATAAAACTTTATTCTACATATTAATTTAAGCAATTTTTATCAAACTTATTGGAAATTTATTATTTCATATATAAAATATTTCGTTTACAAAATCAGTTTACTTCCATCTTCAACAAAGCTTTCTTATTCAAATTCCGTATAAAATAAAATTAATATTCATAATTTTGAATTACATTTAAGTCATTTTTTTCATTTCTTGAGTTACACATTAATGTAGCGTATGCTTCGAATAAATAAGCAAGTCGCACACTAAATGCTCAACCACTTAGCAAAATTTTAACTATGAAATAATACAAAAATATGGGATTATTCAAGATAAGATATATTCAGCTTGGTGCTTTCAATTACTGATGTTGTAATTATTAAATTATTAATTTTACATGATAAATATCAGTTAAAGATGTTCGTTACGAAATAATTATAATATACAATTTATTTTTAAAATGCACGACATGCTTTATTATTGTATCAAATCAGCGTTTAAAAAAGCAAAACATGTTTAAGGATTACTTACAAATATTACATTCAGATGAAACGATAAAAGTGATCACTATTGCAAAACTGATGTGACATGCTTTCATTCTGGAAATAATATGCACATAAGCGATGGAAAATACTTCTCCATTACTTTCGAACTAAAGCTAATCCGTAGATAAACGACCAAATGCAAAGGTAACTTCACTCATATCACTTCTGTTTTGTTCCAGCGGTGATACCGATATGACATAAACAGAGAGATAACATTTAGAGAGAGAGAGAGAAATGTGGTTGTATTTGATTACCATTTCAACATATTAAAGATTATTTAGTTCAAATTGCACATAAAGAATAATATTCGGAGATGTAGATCTATCTGTTTTGAACAGAGAAGAATAAGAACTCCTTTAACTCGAAAAACTAAAGGGATTTTACTTTTGCATTTAATTAATAAATGTAAAATAATTGGATAATGTAAAAATAAGTGCATTATATAAACATCTTTTGATTACAGTATACAAAAGCAGTAATCCATAGTTTTTACTGCAGCTAAGGAAAATTTTTATGAGAAAATGCGACTAATTGTTAATAGTTCATTGGAAGTTTTAAATGCAGTAGTACCTCTTGCACTAGTCATCAGGTAAAATACTCCTCAGAAATAGACATCAAAACGATCATTTCATAATCACGACGTTTTATTGACAACTTAAGTTAGCCTCATACACTGCATACAGAATGTGTTCATCTACCAAAAAACATATTAAACAATCGAAATGGTATTAACGCTTAAGATGCTAGTTTAAATTTGATAAGAGTGATAAAAATCAGAAAAGAATTAAACACGAAAATACAAACAAGAGTTTTTTTAATCATTAACATTTCTTTTAAATTAAAAAACTGTCTATGATAAATGTTATTAAAAATTAAATTTAAAAATGTAAAATTTATTGGCATATATTCCGGCCTTGCTAGGTTAGCTGCGAACTTGAGACAAAAGGAATACCGGTACATGATACTGTAATTTCATTATAAATACTTAGTTATCACTTGAAACTTGCAAAAAATATTATAGGCATATTTTTGCTTTAAAACAAGAGAATTAGCTTTAGATTTCCCCATGGACAAAATTGCGTGGTAAGTGCTTTACATACAGAAAGTCATTGTAGTAATGTAAATAAAAATTTGATAATTTTCCTGTCCTTGGATACCCCAGTGGTTCTTTAGTCATAAACATATTAGCTATTGAAAAACTTCTAGTTAAACATGTGATGATTTTAAAACATATTTATTTAAGTCAATCACATTAAAAAGTTGAAACAAATACTCTCAACTTATTGCTTTTAAATCTCTTAATTTTTTCTTCAATAATCTTCCAGAAAGTATCTTAGGCTTCACTGAATAGCAACATGCTCTTGCGTAGAAGATAAAAGAATTTTACTTCCGGCAGCGGCAACACATTGCTTTCGCAGAGTGGAGTTTGTTAATTAGATTTGAAAGATAAATAAATATCTTACATTTTTCCGATTGGAAATAGTCTCCTGCACTGAGATAAAAATGTCTAATTTCAAACAGTAGTACCATTTTTTGCTTTCATATCGTTCAGTCTATTAATCAAAAATTCCTTAAAATTTTACAAAATACAAAATAAATAATAAAACAAATTTTAAATTCAAAATTCGGGCTTCCAGGTGAGCGAGCATGTTCGGGTGAAGGACTACGTTATTCAAAATTTTATGGCTCTAGGTACCGTTGGTTTACTCCAGGTTATAAAGTATTTCTCCCGACTTCTTAGCGTGCCTTCGTGGTGTGGTGGTCTGCTCGCTGGGCGCGTATTCCAGAGGTCCGTGGTTCGATTTCCGGCGAAGGCGTTGCTCATTTTTCAAATCTTCTGCTTCTAAAAAATCCTATTGTCTCTACAGTGGCGCCCGAACTAAAAGGGTTGTAGATGATGATTCTCCCCACCCAAGATTTTGGCGACTGAGTCCCCTAAAAACTCCAGTCGTCCTTTAAAAGGGGAGTATATAAGGTATTTCTCCCGCCTTCTTAGCGTGCCTTCGTGGAGTGGTGGTCTGCACGCTGGGCGCGTATTCCAGAGGTCCGCGGTTCGATTTCCGGTGAAGACGTTGCTCATTTCTCATCTTTCCTGCTTTCAAAAATTACCTAATGTCTCCACAAGATATTTTTCAAAATGCGAGAAACATACATTCATACATGTAGAATCTTCATTATTTAATTTCTTTAAGACTTATACAGGGCTATAATAATTGGTGGCAACAATTTGAAAAGAGATACGCTGTTTATAGTGAACCAACGCAATACATATTCTATTAAACTGTAAGAATCAGTCATATTGTAAATTTAATTTTAATAATATAATTGACTTTTGTATTTAGTTTAATGGAAATACTAATAATGGATTAAATATACGAACAAAATTAAATGCTGCAGACGAAATGAGTTGAAAATTGAAAACTGCAAATAACATAAAGCGACTTTTCTTTTAATTTGCAAAGTTCACTTCAAATTAAGTACCAGAATTGTGCTTAGTTATTTCTTTGATTTATACTTAAAAATATGTCTATTAAGCACTGTGTTATAGAAAATTGTTATGCATTATTTTGTTGTGTAAAATTATTATATTATTTTACTGCGTTTAATGAATTTGTATTGTTATTATTTTAGAATAATTGTTTAGTATTAATGTTTAGTATTTAGTATTTTTTAAACTTTAACTCATTTACGGCAATACTCTTTTAAGTTAGCTGAAGAGTGTGATTCAGAAAAAAGGGCGAGGCATGTTACTTCTGTTTCTCACGAAGCGGTTAGTTGCTGCCAACTGCAAATTCCTTTTCGGGGGGTTGAACACACGTGTTTTGCTCGTTCAGAGGCGAATAGTTCTAAGGGTCGGTGATTTTTGACAGAGTTATAGGTTGGAAACATTCTTCTGTTGCGTGGGAAAGAAAGGGTCTGTCATCTTGCTGAGAGTTCTGAATTTTCTTGGAAATTTCGTAATGATTTATCGCCAGTTTGTAGTTGGCCAGAGAGGGGTCCAAGTTTCTTTAAGATTGGTTAAATTTTTAATTTTACTGTGGTTTGAGCCAATAGTGACTTTGAGGCATTTCTTGGTGATTGTCAACCGAGTTTTCTTAAGCCGTTGCACGAGAGGCAGGAGCAGATTTTTGACTGAAAGAGACCTTTTAGCAGATTTTTTCAGAGCCTTAGCGGATTTGCTTCTTTGACGGTCGGCCCCTCGGGGCCGGCCGCGGTCAGTTATGTGCTGCTGCACCGATCTGGGCGATAGCAAAGATTTTTGTGCGAGTTCTGACCCACTCTTCTTAAGGCTCCTATATACCAGGCTGAATCATCAGGCATTCGCGCTCCCAAGTGGGAGATTTAATGGCGGCTGAGTGGTTAAGGTGCAACAATTTTTTGTGTTTTTTTTTTGTGTAAAATGGGCGGATGTACAGCTATTAATTGTTCAAATCATTCACGGAAAGGTCATACATTGGTAAAATTTCCTAAAAATGAAGAAAGAAGAAAATATGGGTAAATAATTGCCGAAGAGACAATTGGAAACCTGGTCCAGGCGCTGAACTTTGCTTGTAAGTATAATGTTAATTACGCCTTCATTTAGAGTTTATATCTTCTCTGATGTTTATAATGTGCAAGTAAAGTGAAATTCTTGTGTACAATAACCTGAGTATCTGCTAATTTCTGTAATAATAGCTATAATTAAATTAGTCTAGGGTTAATGTACCCGTCGCCAAACATCGCCAATGTAGATGTTTTGAATATGGAAAAGAAATTTCTCTTCTAATATAAAGCGCGGATTTTGTTTTCCTGTGCTAATTGTGGAATTTATACTAATGTAACATGAAAATCATTAGCATATTGAAATTTATTAAAAAATAAATAATAATTTGGAAAAGTCAAGATAAAATCTGAATGTTTGCTAAAGATATATGTAACATTATACTATAGTTGCAATATCGTTGGAATGATATATATATTTTTTCTTTATTTTATAATCACTATTGTTAAAAAGTTAGATGAGTTTGTTTATGCACGGTGCCCACTACTGTTTCTTGGTTAAAATAACTTCCAGAATTTTGACATTGACATCTGAAGTCAATAGAATAAATTGAATAGTGTGAGACAAAATATATATAATCTGACTTCAATAATTGCAAGGATTGTGCAAGTTTATTTATAATCACAGTATTATACAATTTGGCAATGGAGTAAAGATTTAGAAATGAATGCAGAACATTCAAATTAGTATTTTCTTGTTTCTAATATATAGAAATATAGTCTATTTTCCAGTATAAAAGTTTTACTTAAAAAGTATGGGAAAGCAGATTTGTTTCATGCATGATCTATATAATACTGGTATGAAATGAATGAATTTTAATCTGTAAACAATTTTTTGTTAATATTGAAATGCGTTTCTTTGGGTACATTTTTAGGCACTTGTGGATCATGTCAGACAACATGCAATAGAAAAAAGATGTCCGTGTGCATAAATTTTCCCATTGTGTTACTTCATTTTATCTAAATTTCAAGGATAATTCTTTTCATTTTTATATGGCATGTTATCAGTATAAAGGCTAGTGAAAATAAATTGGTATGTGTATCTGTTTTTGAAGTGTAATGCTTAAATAAAAAGATGGTGTGTGTTTCTTCATTTAAACAAAATTTCAAGGATAGTATTTTTCAGTGTTGTACGGTTTGTTATTTCTCAATGTAAAGTGTAACAAGGGGAAAAAAAAACTGGTATGGTATATTTGTTTTTTTACGCATGATAATTTTATTTATTTCTTTAGTGATGCATATATATAGAGAGAAGGTGTTTGGTCCAACTGAAGTTATAATAAATCTAATTTTACTAGATCTCTCCCTCCCCTCAGGTGTAGAAAATTTTCAAGTGCAGAAAGTTTATTTGCAGAATTAATTCATTTCTGATAAACTTATTATCATTAATTTTTTATATAACATGTTATTAAGTTACACATTTGACTACTGTGTAATAAAATTGTATTTAGGGCAAAAAATTAACTATAATTTTGCATCTGGTGACTAATATCATATGCTTCTAAGAATATTACTTTAACTTTTTCCATAATTTTTGTATTTCAGGAACATGAAACTGTTATTTTGATATACTTAAATAATAAAAGTGTGTATCTGAATCAATTAATGGATACAAATATTTTACAGTTA